TGTGCTTTTCCACAGCTGATGTCACATCAGCAGTTGTTGTGTCTGCAACAGGTGTGGCCACAGACTCTGTAGTCACTCCTGCAGTAGTGATTATCTCAGCAGTAGTTGTTTTGGCTGCTGAAGTGATTTCAACAGTAGTTGGCTCTGCAGCAGTGGTCTCAGCACCAGTGGTCACACCAGAAGTTGTAGTTACTTCAGATACTGTGGTCTGAATAACTGTACTTGTAGCTTCAGCTGTGGTTGTGGCTCTACCAGTTGTGCTTTCAACAGCTGAAGTCACATCAGCAGTTGTTGTGTCTGCAACAGGGGTGGCCACAGACTCTGTAGTCACTCCTGCAGTAGTGATTATCTCAGCAGTAGTTGTTTGGGCTGCTGAAGTGATTTCAACAGTAGTTGGCTCTGCAGCAGTGGTCTCAGCACCAGTGGTCACACCAGGAGTTGTGTTACTTCAGATACTGTGGTCTGAACAACTGTACTTGTAGCTTCAGCTGTGGTTGTGGCTCTACCAGTTGTGCTTTCCACAGCTGATGTCAAATCAGCAGTTGTTGTGTCTGCAACAGGGGTGGCCACAGACTCTGTAGTCACTCCTGCAGTAGTGATTATCTCAGCAGTAGTTGTTTGGGCTGCTGAAGTGATTTCAACAGTAGTTGGCTCTGCAGCAGTGGTCTCAGCACCAGTGGTCACACCAGAAGTTGTGTTACTTCAGATACTGTGGTCTGAATAACTGTACTTGTAGCTTCAGCTGTGGTTGTGGCACTACCAGTTGTGCTTTCAACAGCTGAATGTCACATCAGCAGTTGTTGTGTCTGCAACAGGGGTGGACACAGACTCTGTAGTCACTCCTGCAGTAGTGATTATCTCAGCAGTAGTTGTTTGGGCTGCTGAAGTGATTTCAACAGTAGTTGGCTCTGCAGCAGTGGTCTCAGCATCAGTGGTCACACCAGAAGTTGTAGTTACTTCAGATACTGTGGTCTGAAAACAATGTACTTGTAGCTTCAGCTGTGGTTGTGGCTCTACCAGTTGTGCTTTCCACAGCTGATGTCACATCAGCAGTTGTTGTGTCTGCAAAGGGGTGGACACAGACTCTGTAGTCACTCCTGCAGTAGTGATTATCTCAGCAGTAGTGTTGTTTGGGCTGCTGAAGTGAATTCAACAGTAGTTGGCTCTGCAGCAGTGGTCTCAGCATCAGTGGTCACACCAGAAGTTGTAGTTACTTCAGATATGTGGTCTGAACAACTGTACTTGTAGCTTCAGCTGTGGTTGTGGCTCTACCAGTTGTGCTTTCAACAGCCGAAGTCACATCAGCAGTTGTTGTGTCTGCAACAGGGGTGGACACAGTCTCTGTAGTCACTCCTGCAGTAGTGATTATCTCAGCAGTAGTTTTTGTTTGGGCTGCTGAAGTGATTCAACAGTAGTTGGCTCTGCAGCAGTGGTCTCAGCACCAGTGGTCACACCAGAAGTTGTAGTTACTTCAGCTACTGTGGTCTGAAAACTGTACTTGTAGCTTCAGCTGTGGTTGTGGCTCTACCAGTTGTGCTTTCACAGCTGATGTCACATCAGCAGTTGTTGTGTCTGCAACAGGGGTGGCCACAGACTCTGTAGTCACTCCTGCAGTAGTGATTATCTCAGCAGTAGTTGTTTGGGCTGCTGAAGTGATTTCAACAGTAGTTGGCTCTGCAGCAGTGGTCTCAGCACCAGTGGTCACACCAGGAGTTGTAGTTACTTCAGATACTGTGGTCTGAACAAACTGTACTTGTAGCTTCAGCTGAGGTTGTGGCACTACCAGTTGTGCTTTCCACAGCTGATGTCACATCAGCAGTTGTTATGTCTGAAACAGGTGTGGCCACAGACTCTGTAGTCACTCCTGCAGTAGTGATTATCTCAGCAGTAGTTGTTTGGCTGCTGAAGTGATTTCAACAGTAGTTGGCTCTGCAGCAGTGGTCTCAGCACCAGTGGTCACACCAGAAGTTGTAGTTACTTCAGCTACTGTGGTCTGAATAACTGTACTTGTAGCTTCAGCTGTGGTTGTGGCTCTACCAGTTGTGCTTTCAACAGCCAAGTCACATCAGCAGTTGTTGTGTCTGCAACAGGGGTGGCCACAGACTCTGTAGTCACTCCTGCAGTAGTGATTATCTCAGCAGTAGTTGTTTTGGGCTGCTGAAGTGAATTCAACAGTAGTTGGCTCTGCAGCAGTGGTCTCAGCACCAGTGGTCACACCAGAAGTTGTAGTTACTTCAGATACTGTGGTCTGAACAACTGTACTTGTAGCTTCAGCTGTGGTTGTGGCTCTACCAGTTGTGCTTTCCACAGCTGATGTCACATCAGCAGTTGTTGTGTCTGCAACAGGGTGGACACAGACTCTGTAGTCACTCCTGCAGTAGTGATTATCTCAGCAGTAGTTGTTTGGGCTGCTGAAGTGATTTCAACAGTAGTTGGCTCTGCAGCAGTGGTCTCAGCACCAGTGGTCACACCAGAAGTTGTAGTTACTTCAGATACTGTGGTCTGAATAACTGTACTTGTAGCTTCAGCTGTGGTTGTGGCTCTACCAGTTGTGCTTTCAACAGCCGAAGTCACATCAGCAGTTGTTGTGTCTGCAACAGGGGTGGACACAGACTCTGTAGTCACTCCTGCAGTAGTGATTATCTCAGCAGTAGTTGTTTGGGCTGCTGAAGTGATTTCAACAGTAGTTGGCTCTGCAGCAGTGGTCTCAGCACCAGTGGTCACACCAGAAGTTGTAGTTACTTCAGATACTGTGGTCTGAATAACTGTACTTGTAGCTTCAGCTGTGGTTGTGGCTCTACCAGTTGTGCTTTCAACAGCCGAAGTCACATCAGCAGTTGTTGTGTCTGCAACAGGGTGGCCACAGACTCTGTAGTCACTCCTGCAGTAGTGATTATCTCAGCAGTAGTTGTTTGGGCTGCTGAAGTGATTTCAACAGTAGTTGGCTCTGCAGCAGTGGTCTCAGCACCAGTGGTCACACCAGGAGTTGTAGTTACTTCAGATACTGTGGTCTGAATAACTGTACTTGTAGCTTCAGCTGAGGTTGTGGCACTACCAGTTGTGCTTTCCACAGCTGATGTCACATCAGCAGTTGTTGTGTCTGCAACAGGGGTGGCCACAGACTCTGTAGTCACTCCTGCAGTAGTGATTATCTCAGCAGTAGTTGTTTGGGCTGCTGAAGTGATTTCAACAGTAGTTGGCTCTGCAGCAGTGGTCTCAGCACCAGTGGTCACACCAGAAGTTGTAGTTACTTCAGATACTGTGGTCTGAATAACTGTACTTGTAGCTTCAGCTGTGGTTGTGGCTCTACCAGTTGTGCTTTCCACAGCCGAAGTCACATCAGCAGTTGTTGTGTCTGCAACAGGGGTGGCCACAGACTCTGTAGTCACTCCTGCAGTAGTGATTATCTCAGCAGTAGTTTGTTTGGGCTGCTGAAGTGATTTCAACAGTAGTTGGCTCTGCAGCAGTGGTCTCAGCACCAGTGGTCACACCAGAGTTGTAGTTACTTCAGATACTGTGGTCTGAACAACTGTACTTGTAGCTTCAGCTGTGGTTGTGGCACTACCAGTTGTGTTTTTCACAGCTGATGTCACATCAGCAGTTGTTGTGTCTGCAACAGGGGTGGCCACAGACTCTGTAGTCACTCCTGCAGTAGTGATTATCTCAGCAGTAGTTGTTTGGGCTGCTGAAGTGATTTCAACAGTAGTTGGCTCTGCAGCAGTGGTCTCAGCACCAGTGGTCACACCAAGTTGTAGTTACTTCAGATACTGTGGTCTGAATAACTGTACTTGTAGCTTCAGCTGTGGTTGTGGCTCTACCAGTTGTGCTTTCAACAGCTGAAGTCACATCAGCAGTTGTTGTGTCTGCAACAGGGGTGGCCACAGACTCTGTAGTCACTCCTGCAGTAGTGATTATCTCAGCAGTAGTTTTTGTTTGGGCTGCTGAAGTGATTTCAACAGTAGTTGGCTCTGCAGCAGTGGTCTCAGCACCAGTGGTCACAGAAGTTGTTGTAGTTACTTCAGCTACTGTGGTCTGAATAACTGTACTTGTAGCTTCAGCTTGGTTGTGGCTCTACCAGTTGTGCTTTCAACAGCTGATGTCACATCAGCAGTTGTTGTGTCTGCAACAGGGGTGGACACAGACTCTGTAGTCACTCCTGCAGTAGTGATTATCTCAGCAGTAGTTGTTTGGCTGCTGAAGTGAATTCAACAGTAGTTGGCTCTGCAGCAGTGGTCTCAGCACCAGTGGTCACACCAGAAGTTGTAGTTACTTCAGCTACTGTGGTCTGAATAACTGTACTTGTAGCTTCAGCTGTGGTTGTGGCTCTACCAGTTGTGCTTTCAACAGCTGAAGTCACATCAGC